ACTGGACCTTGCCTCGCTGCAATCTGTCAGAGACCTGGCCAAAGATGTCCAGGAGAATGAGGAGCGCTTGGACATCCTCATAAACAACGCAGGTAATTTGCAATGAGTCTTCCTCAGTCAGCAGCAGCTGCTTGTTTTCTCCTCTGAAGGACCAACTGTGGGTAAAATAAAAGGTCATTTTTTGGTTTACTTAATTTGACTGTTTCTTTTCCTTTGCCATTGCTAGGTATTATGATGTGTCCGAAGTGGGAGACTGAGGATGGCTTTGAAATGCAGTTTGGTGTCAACCACCTGGGACATTTTCTCCTCACCAACTGTCTGCTTGACCTGCTGAAGAAGTCAACTCCAAGTCGAATTGTTATTGTTTCTAGTGTTGGACACCAGAGAGGTAAAGGTTTTTTTGATTTAATATTTTTTACTTTAAGAACCCATTGATGATTACAGTCACTCAAAATACACTTTCTTGCAGGTCGTATACACTTTGATGATATCAACCTTGATAAAAGCTACAATCCTGAAAAGAGCTACCGCCAAAGCAAGCTAGCCAATATTCTCTTCTGCAGAGAGCTGGCTGCAAGACTACAAGGTAGAGCTCAATGGATATGAATTCTCTGAATACAGCAATGTTATAATACACATGTAATGCACATTATTATGAACCATTTTTGCTCTCATGTTCTTGTTTTGTATGTGTTGCATGTATTGTAACTAACACCTGATTGATGGATACCTCTCATTAGGCACCGGTGTGACGGTGTACAGTCTTCACCCAGGGGTCATCCGCACAGAGTTAGGCCGACATTTCATCCCTACTGTACCTTTATGGAAGAAGATGATATTCTCGCCCGTTTTATTGCTGATCAAAAGTCCCTGGGAAGGAGCCCAAACCACCATCTACTGCGCTGTGGATGAGAGCCAGGCAAACACCAGCGGCCTCTACTACAGGCAAGTGCATCTGAATGTAATCAAATGTTGTATTAACTGGAATTTCCAAATGCATTCCCTTTTGATTGCAAATAGTCCCTTCTTTTCACTCTTTTGGGTGGATTTTTTTTCTCTAAAAAAGATGAACTGAAGATAAAGGAGACTGAGATAAACTTGCCTCTAGTAATCCATTACCAGTTCTATTATGTCAGACAGGATTTTGATAGCACTGGGAAACTTTATGATGTTGTCTTCTCCTTCATTTAATTCACCGTGCAGTGACTGTGCCCTCAAAAAGCCGGCACCAGAGGCCCTGGATGATGCTGCAGCCAAGAAGTTGTGGGACCTCAGTGCTTCCATGGTTGGTCTGGCTTAAATACAGCAGCCTGATATGCTTTCATCAGCTGTTCCTCTGAATGGAATCATCAGCCCTGTCTATGTGTGTGAACCTGCTCTAATCTCGTAGACCTGAAAGGTTTGCAGTATAAAAATTTGCACTATTTCCTCTATGGATCAACTAAAGCTGTGTTTTCAGAGTCGATACCAATGTTGACGAATAATGAAAGACTGATCACCAATATTTGAAAGTGACACTCTCCTCCGTTTTCTGACAGTTTGTCTCCTCTACTCCTAAAATTATGTCTTCTCTGTTTTATAAATATTTCACTGTTTTATCACTTTCATTGCCCGGTAAGGCCAAGATTTATGAAATATAAAAGCATTATTAGGGTCCGACCACCCAAAGGGGGCAAAGACCCTTTTGGAACTGCTCGTTTTTTATTATTCTTCGCCATAAAGAGATGCGTTTTTGAGGCCCTAAATGTACTTGCACATGCACAAAACTTGGCACACACATCAGATCCCGCAAAAAATTTTTATTATTTGAAAGAAAAATACATACCTCAACCGAGTCCCATCGGAAGCACTTTTCACCTAGAGCTACACAATTCTGTAGGCATATAGAGCAGGTCAGAATGAATAAAAGTCTCCCTGCTTCAAGCTCTAAAATGCAACATAGCTCAACTGCACCCCCTACAATATTTCAACAGAGTCCCATTGTGGCTACATTTGACTTAGTGCTACAAAAATTGGTACACATATGTAGCAACTCATGACGCACAAAAAAGTCCATTAGCATGTTTCTGTAAACCCAACAGGAAATCCGCCATGTTGGGAAAACGGCGAGGATGCCGGGCCTTTTTTGCTCAAAAATAGCCATTTTGGGCCATTTTCAAAATCTATCTCTTCCTAGGCGATACGTCATACATACCTGAAATTTGCCCAGCACAAACTACAGGACGTGGTGATTAAAAGTTATCAAAACACTCCGCAGATGAG